AAAAAAAAAAAAAAAAATTATTTTTATTTTTATTTTTATTTTTACAGCAAAGCTTCTTCGAGAAGGATTTCCTTGATTTTTCCGGACATTTTATATATTTGACGTTGGCGAAAGAAACGGGTCGACAACAAACCTCCTCCTCCTCCTCCCCTTTGCCCCTCTTAACCACCCACTCGAAGCAACCCCTTTTGGCCGTTCACACCAGGAAATCTCACGATTTATCGGTGTACCCAACTACCCTCTCCCTTTCTCCAGTTGTTTCTTGGTAGAACACAGAATCCTTCTGACACCCTCTATTGTCGATGATTTCTATCAGGTGTGTGTATGGAAAAGAGAAACGGATAAGAAAAGGACAACGAAGAGGAATAAAAGAAACCCTGATATATCCGCCAAACAGGAGAAGGGAATCTTGAAACGCCTTGCGGATTTATCGGCACCAAGGATAATGGATGGTCTAGACGAGATTTTTTTCTTTTTTAGTTTTACTTTTTTTTTTTTTTAAATAATACCATAAGTAAGTACTTACTACCATTGGTGGCTCAAAACTGCGAAGTGTGAACTTTAAACGTTTGTCAATTTTAAAATTTAACAACGCGTCGATCGGATTGCGAACAAGTTTCTTTTTTTTTTTTTCTTTAATCTATAAATCTAAGAGATATAAAATATGATTTTTATTAACGAGATTTTACGCGAATGGTTAATATAAAACGATTAAGTATATTAGAAAAAATATTTGACGCAACATTTTATATATTGGAAATACCAATTTAAAAGATTACGAATTCATTGAACTTTCAAAGTTCGATATAAATGTTGTAAAACTTAAAGCAACTTACCAAAGAATAAAAAAGAAAAAACAATCTAATCCCTGATGATATACATTCAGTAATAAAAAAAAAAGGTCTTTAACGCCGATGTATTAATTAAACGTATGTATTCCCAAGTAACGATAATGTTTAAGATGTCTCTAGTGCAAATGTTAAAGAACACCATAAAGATTCCGAAAGGACAAGTATACTCGTGAATAACAACATTCAAATGGAAAGAAGGGAAATGTTCGATCGGTCGATTCTTGAGAATGTATTTAATTCGATTGGCCTTTGCCGCCATCGGGCAAGCAGACGAGAAGGGTGAGAAAGAGACAAAAAAAAATAAAAAGAGTGAGAGAGAGAGAAATAGGAGGGTAGGTAGAGACCATTGTGGGGGTTGAGAGAACCTCTGTTTCCGGAGGAAATGAGGGCTTCGCGACTCTCTCTCTCTCTCTCTCTCTCTCTCTCCTATTTCCCCTCTCCCAACTCCCTTTTCCTCTCGTCATCACCCACTCCAACCCCAACTCCTCTTTCCTCCCCGTCATCTCTTCTCCATCCGATAACCAAGCATCCTTTCGCGTTCGACAAGGATGACGAAAATCGTATTTATATTCCATCTCTCGAGCTCAGGTAAATATTTCCAGTGGGTTACGCACCTGAGAAGAGTGTCGCGAAACGAAATTCTACAGTGGAAAAGGGAAAGGGAGAAAAAGCACAACCTCTAAAAATCAACCTCGTTTCACGGACTACCAAGCTTTTCACGAATTTATCCATTAAAAAAAAATAATATAATCTTAACTTCTTACTTTCCTCTTATTTCTTTTTTAAACCTAAGGCATCTTATTTTCCGTTTATATAGTAATTAAGAATTGAGGAAGTTGAGAAAGTGTCGTTAATTATTTCAATTATTCTTTCATTGCAATTTCGTATTCATCTAAATTTACACAAACTAAATAATAAATAAATACAATATAATACAATATAAGAAACGTTAAATTTGTTAATGAGAATAATGCAATACCAAAGATTTACATATGATAATTGCGATTGAGAACTACGTAAAGAAAATAAAAGAAAAGAATATTTCTCAGGTGTCGCGAATTCTGTGATGGTAGTAGTATCTTACCTTTTACAAGGGAGAAGGAGAAGAAGAAAAAGGTAAAGAAGGTGAAGGGGTGTCTATCGTAAAAGTCGGTCGACGTTTCACGAATGTAATTTTCGCTGTATGCCCGGATTAGAAGAAGCCCAGCTTCTTCTCTTCGTCGAGTTCTCGTTTTGCGGCTTGATAAGTATTGCCCGATTTGGTTCTTCAATGCGTCGCGACTGGAAAAGGTATTCGAAAGATGATCTTGAAACGATCGATCGGGCTCCACATGACGTCAGGAACCAAGCTGGTTTCATACAAAAGCCCGGCTATTCGTGATCAAGAAGAGAGAAAGAGAGAGAGAGAGAGAGAGAGAGAGAGAGAGAGAAAAGTTGCCTCGTACAACCTCGAATCTCATTCAACACCGGGACATCTCTTTTAGGATATAAGGAAGAATATCCGTGATTGGAAATATATCGTCTTTTTCCCTTGCCGATAGAAAAGACGTTAAAACCTGTCATAATGTTAGATAAGCTTTATTGAACAATCGTATTTTTCTCCTCTTCTTCTTCTTCTTCTTTTTCTTTACAAAAGAGCTTACTATCTAAGTTCAACGAAAAGTAATGCGAATTGCGAAAAATTGATAATATTCCATTGATTTTCTATTTAATTAAATTGAATAAATGTCCTTTTTTTGTAATTATTTATCATTTAGCCTACTTGTCAATATCGCTGAGTGAACAAGAATGACATTTCTTTTTTGTTTTTTATCTTAAATATTATATTATATTATATTATATTACATTATATTATATTATATTAAATTAAATGAAATTGTGTAGCATTGCGTGGTTCTATTTCGATTTTTCGAATAAAGACAGATCGGGACTTGGGACGATAGGACGAAACTTTTGCACGGGAAAAATCTTTCGGATAATCCGATCATCCTTAGCTTCGACGTAAAAAGATTATTCGCGGGTAAAAAGGTTGCGAAAAGAATTCGAGGACGTTGCAAAGGGATCGTTTTCATTTTGCAAGTGATATAGTTTAAATTGGCTAATATTAAGTTAATAAATTAAATATATAGAATTGATCGGAAAATTCCTGTCGATTTTTATAAGTATAATTTAATGATAATATATGTTTTATTTATAAATCTGTATGAACTTTTTAGATAACAGTAAAAAAAATTCGTGCTGATTTCAAATGAAAATTTGACAACAGTACATTTATATTTTCATAAGTATAATTTTATAATGTTTATATAAAATCGGCACGAATGTTTCTAGCAACCTAATACATGTAAATACTTGTTTTAATGAATGATAAAAAATTATTTGATTTTCTTTTCTTCAACAAAATAAATGACATACATAAAATAAAAATCAAAGAAAATTTCTTACATGTGTTACAGCACAAATTCTATTTCTTAAAGATTCAATTACTATTCCAAAGCTTATATCATTAAATAAAGTATCAAATTAAAGATTCTATCCGTTAATTATCTCCTTTATATGTAATCATGTGCGATCAATAAATTTAACCTTAATTACTGTTTTTCCTTTTCTTTAACATTACCTTAGTTTAATCATGAAAATCCACAAGTCTCATATATTATTTTATACCTCTGTTGGTTTGCCAATTCCTATAGACTTTGATATTCTTGGTTGTGGAACGCATTCAGTTAGTGACCGTATCTGTTAAAAAGAAATGCGAACAATTAATAACTTATATGTTAAATATGGTCAATGTATTATCAAAAACATTTAATGTGTTTCTAGTGAGAACACATACAAACACTTTCAAAGCTATAAGAAGCTTGTGTACCATCATAATATTTGTCTCCGATAATACTCACTTTTGGAATTCCCATTCACGATTATCGAGAGGACAAACTTGTCGAGTCTTCAACCATCGAGAGATGCAATGGAAATGGAATGCATGCTATGCAACAAAATTCAAAGCTATATTATTACATACAATGAACATAATATTAACTTAAAACTTTAAATGAGCCACTGATATGCTAAAAAATAATATGCATTATCATATCGTCTATTATTGATTGACCATTAAAATTGTTTTCATTTATTGACAAAATTCTAAACTTGCAAATTAGTTTTGTTTGCAAAATCAAACCGGCTCAAATATTAACTAAAGATATATTGTTCAATACGTATTCGATGCAAAATATACAGCACAAATATGTATCGACAAGATCAATGTAAAAACTTTAAAAACTTACATTGCATACACCCCAGGCTACAGTACATTCATCGCTGGTAGCTGAGGCTTGATTAGCTTGACATTCGATACATAAATCCATAATATGATTTCTGCATATAGCACAGTTGTCTACGACAATATCTAAAATGCAAAACATAACAGAATTTATATTAAAATAAATTACACATATTCCATGAAAAGAATTTAATTATTTATATTATTTTAAATGCATATAAATATTACTAAATAAAATACATACCCCAAGCCCAAAGTGCCACAGCATTCCACTAGAAATAAAACAAATGTATATATACGTTAGAATGAAATGGCAGAAATGAGGTTAGGAACTTATTATCGTATATTTGTGATAAATGCAATTAATTAAATATAAAAGTTATATGTTTATTCTGTATTTCGTGACATACCTTTTTAACTTCGAAACGTTTTTTTTCTCCTTTACTACTGCTAGAAGTAGGTAACTCAATGTCTTCTTCATCTATTTCCATCGCCGACGCCATGTTTAAATTTGGATATGTTAAACCGAATGACATCTAGTGTTCTATTTCAAAGGTATTTAATGTGGTGTGCTAGACAAAAGTAACACAATATTAAAAATATTTATGTAAGTGCTAATAAATATTATAAATATTTAAAAATGATACAATATATAATATTATCTTAATAACAACGAAATAAATCAATTAATTTCTTACGTGTTAACATATGTGTCGATAATTTACCAAAAGTTCCTACGAATTGTATAGGTTATATTTCTATCACTGACAGCAAGTATATACATTGAATTATTTTATATTCTTCTAAAGAATTGAATTCAATATTAAAAATATTAAAATAAAATATAAAATAATAATGAGGAGAAAGGCTGGAATTGGTGCTATCCATAAACAAAAATTAGAACAAGAAAAATATAAGGATAAAGGAACAGAGATACAAGAGAATCAATTTGAACAAATGACTAAACAAATGGAAACATTTCGTGTTAATTTGGAAGAATTTGCTACTAAGCATAAAAATGAGATTAAAAAGAATGCACAGTTTCGACGACAATTTACAGAGATGTGTGCATCCATTGGTGTTGATCCATTAGCATCTGGGAAAGGCTTTTGGTCCGTGCTGGGCATTGGTGACTTTTACTATGAACTTGCAGTGCAGATTGTAGAAGTATGTATGGCAATGAATTACAAGAATGGTGGTCTGATATCTTTAGATGAATTAAGAACACGCTTGGTACAAGCAAGAGGTCGTCGTAAAGAACATCAAGAAATAACCAACGAAGACTTATTAGCTGCATCTAAGAAATTAAAAATATTTGGAAACGGATTCACAATAGTTCCTATAGGTAGAGGAAAGTATTTAGTCCAGTCTGTTCCAGGTGAATTAAGCATGGATCATACTGCAGTGTTACAACAAGCTAGTTTAGCTGGAAACGCACATGTTTCCAGGTCGATGTTAGAAATAGAGTTGAAATGGGAACGAGAACGAGCACAGAAAGCATTGGATCATATGGTTAAAGAAGGATTAGCTTGGTTGGATGAACAAGGAGAAAATGAAACCTTGTATTGGTTTCCTAGTTTGTTTACAGCCTGTATCGCCTCCAAAGAATAATCATTTTTTCTTTTTCCTTTTTTTAAAGATAATTTATCAGGTAGGAATTCGTCATACTTAAAATATTGTTATGTTTCCTGTATGAACATGTATTTCCAAAATAGATATATCTGCCATTTCTTCAAATATTTACAGAAACCAAGATGTGATATTAATCCTACGATTGTAACATTACAATGTTACCTTATTTTATTTCCTTCGATGCTTCTAAAATATATATTAAAAGATACTTAATACAAGGACAAAAATTCAATAACTAATATGGTTATAATAAAAAATAAATATTTTAACATACTTCGGAAGATTTTGTATTTTGTGTTTAGTTAGTTCTTGCTGAGCTGCAAATAATTCTTTTATCAATTCCTCGTTTTCCTTTCTTAATGCGTTTATCTTAGCTCGATGTTCTTTTGATTTTTCTTGAAACTTTGTTGTCAACGTCTTGGCTTCTTCTTTCCATCTTTAATAACAAAAGAAATATCATTAAAAACATGAAATACTTATTGAGGTAAAATATTTCTATTACTTTCTGCTAAGTTTTTGATGAACTTCCACGTGATGTGATAATTCTTTTATCTTTTTGTCGAATCTTTCTTGCACTTTATTCATTTGTTCTAATAAAACTAATCGACAACAATGTTCCTTGTTTTCTAGTCTAAAAAAAAAAAAAAATACATGTTAAATATAGAATCAATAATAAAATTAAAAAATTATAAGCTTATGCTTACGTTGCATCTGAATTAGGTTTCTTCGCTTCCTTTTCCACTGTATAAACTTGTGCTGCAGCTATGTTTGCATTTAACCCATCCTGTGTCAAAAATGTTGCTTTTTGATGATTGAGTTCTAAATTATGTATTTTATTTTCCAGAGAATTCTTTTCATATTCCCACTTTTGCATTTCATGATCAAAAGTTATTTGCAAATGTTTCATTTCTGTTTGTAAATGATCTTTATCTTCCAAAGATCTAGCCAAACGTTTCTCCAAATCATTGCATTGTTCAATCATATTCTTCGTTTTCTCGTTAGCTTGTTTTACTTGATTTTCCATGCTGTCATTATTATCTTGTTGAAATTTATTTACTTTATCATTAGCAGTATTTAATCTTTCTTCTAAATCAATTATCTTAGCTTCTAAATGGGAAATCTCTGCATCGTACTTTTTTCTTTGAGCATCATCTTTATTTTGTAGTTGACGTTCTATGGAATGCAATTTGTGTACAAAATCCAAGATTTTAGTTCTTGATCTTTGTAATGCATCTTCAGAACTTTGACGTTTCTTTTCAAATTCTTCCTGAGAAAATCTATAATCATTTTCTAAATGATCTAAAAGTTTAGTTTTGTGTTCCAATTCCACTTTAAGATCTCGTATTTCAGATGTATACTTTTTAACCCTTCTTTCATAATCATCTTTCATTTTTGTTATCTCTTCTTGCAACATTGCTGTATGTTCTTCTGTTATTTTAGATAAACGAAGTTCAAGTCTATTCTTTTCTTCCAATATGTGTCCTTCTCTTTGTAATATCAAATCTTTTTCTCGTACAGCAATTTCTACTAATTCCAAAGCTTCAGATACTTTATTTTTTGTTTCTTCATTTCGAGCCATCAAAGATGCAGTAAATTTCATAGCTTCGTTTAATTTACTTTCCAATTCTATTTTTGAACGTATTGCACTTTGCTTATTCAATGTTTCATTAGCTAATTCAGTTTTCAATGATTCAACAATCTTCAGATTATTTTTATCTTAAATAAAAAACACGTATAAAGCATTATTAAAATAATCAATATAAATAATATTATTATAATATGATTCAATATACCTTTCTCTTGAATATCCTTTTGGAGATTTTCATATTTTCTTGCAATGTCAGCTTTCTCTTTAAGCAAATCCTCAATTTTATCTTTGCTAGTTTCCCACAACGCTTGTTGTTTTAAAAAATTTTCTCTCGCTTGCAATAATTTACCTTCCAATGCTTTAATTGCTTCTGAATATGTTTCTTTAACGTTGTCAATATGTTCTTCGTATAACTTAGAACTTTTACCATCCGTTCTAAAATTCTTCAAATCTTCTTCCAAAGCGTTCACTGCTTTCAATGCCATTTGCCATAATTGATAAACCGAATCCTTTTCCATTTGTAAAATTGTGATACGTTCTTGTAAATTCATTATAATTTCTTTATTATGTATACTTTCGCTGTTACACGTTTCAATATGAATACGAGAAAATTCATCTTTAACAAGATCACCAATGTCTCTGTTATCATTTTGTATCGTTTCAATCATTGACCTAATTTTATTCTGTTCTACCTGCAACAACAAAAAGTTGTATTTAATGTTTAGAAATATTTTTTGTATTTATTTTATTAAAAAATAATTTAACTCACCTTACAAACATTTAAATCTTTCTCAAGATTTTCCATCATTTCATTATATTTTTGTAATACTGAATTGGTATCCCTATTACTGTCCCTTTAAATAAAATCGTAATTATAAAGGGACAAAAATAATAAATATATATATAGAATACATTGATACATTTAATTATATAACCTAAAAACTTACCCATGTTTTGAAGTATTTTCTAAATCCGAATCGAACATATTAACTCATGCGATGACTTAAAAAACGAATAATAATTATCTTTAATATCAAAAATTATAATATTCATTTACTTAATACATGAATAAACGAAAGTTCCTGTAACGAGAAAAATAATTCTTCTTTTGTAAACAACACAACTTCTTTACCGACTAGATTGTATCTGTTTTACCAATGATACGTATGCAACTAAACCCGCGTAATTTGAATTTTTAAATATTTCTACACGAGAAAAAAAAGAAAAGAAAAAAACAAACAGATAAAACTTGTTAATTATTAAAATAAATATGTGATTGAAATTTTCGAAATGCACTAATTAATTACGTAAATATTAAAATTAAAATGACTGATTACGTTTGTAAATATAAATAAAAATATAGAAATTATATAAATGAAGTATGGTCGGTGGAGTAGACGGAAAGAGGATTGAATTTGTTTATGAAATATATCTAAATTGTTTGAAAATCATTATATAATTTAAATAACGTTTCCTTTTGATTTAACATTTCACGAATGGAAATGACATTAACCGGACAAACAATTTGTTGAATGTGACTTGTTAAAAGAGATAACGCTTATGCGTTGGTAATAAGCGGTGATAGTATAGGAAGTAGATAAGGATAGCGTTTCTCTTCGAATTGTTCAATTGCTATCAATTATATTACTGAGTTTACCCACAGCCATTTGAGACTTCGTATTACGAACAAGCACCGGTAAGGCATACATATATACATACTTACATAAATATGTATTTGTGACGTTGTTATACGGTAACTACGTAACACACGTTACAATCGCGTGCAGCATAACGTGAATACGTTATGTATGTTGTATTATATCACACATAACAATATGTCATAACTAAACTGTCACACTTGTACATCCTCATACATACTAAATATCTTGTATATATTTATTATGTACACTACCGGTCAAAATTATTTGACCACACGTTACAAGATGAAAGAATATTGGCTTACATCAATGTCCTATTTAATTTTGTATTTTTTTTTTTATTATCTATATAAAAAAATTACTTTCAATCTTTCTAGCAAAACTGTATTTGTGTAATATGTAAAACATAATTTATATTTTTACATAAGTGGGTGATAGACACGATCGACAATAATTTAATGTTTAAGCCAACTTTTCTATTATTTTGTAAAATGATCAAATAATTTTAATTATTAGCGTCAATTTTCATGCATCAAATTTTATAAAATATACATTTGCTAAATGTATTTGAAAAAAAAAAACTTAATATTTCTTTTTCTGTTTATTCTTTTTTTTTCCTTCACAACCTTATTACCTGTAATTAACTTGTAATTGTAAGTAAGTATATATGTACTAATTATTTGTTCGTTAACCTGAAACTGACAGTGCGAGACATAATAATGCACGTATGCATAAATTAATAGAATCTCGTTTAAATGACATATATATGTATGCATGTGACATATTTCTTTATTGCAATAACTAATTTTTATTTCTTTATCGATTATTTCATTATAATTTGATTATAAATAATTGACAATTGTAAAATTTGAATAATAGAAAATTTTCTTAACGAGTACCTTTGTTGAATTGTAAAAAAAATTCTTGAGAATGTTTATTTTTATAAACAACACGATTCAAATATTGTTGATAAGATTTTTGTTGTTCGGCGAGTTTCAAATTTTCCTCGGCAATCTTTTTATTGAGTTCCCTGAAAAAATGATTCGTTAGACACGAATAGAACGAAGGTCAATAAAGATAAAGGAAAAAAAAAATCTCTTACGTCCTCTTTCGATCCAGTTCACGCTGATAGGCATTGGCAGTTTCAGCGTGAGCGTTCATCAATTTATCCCATTCCTCGTTCATTCGTTTTTCTTCCAATTTCATTTTCTATATAATAATGAAAAGGACACAAAAAAAGAAACAAAATTATATGCAACCTTAAAGTAGTAAAAAAAAAAAAAAAAAAAAAAGAAAAAGATAAATTGCACGATCTTGTGGAAGACGTTACCGAGGTTGAAATCAAATTTATAGACGTTTCTATTTGCGGATAAATAAAATCAAAGATAATCGAAGTAAATGAAATATTTTACATAGGTAATTGTCATTGGATTTGTAGATCTTATATTATTACCTGGATTTCCTCCATTTGTTTGACTTGCTCGTCTCTGAAAACCTTGAGTTGATCTGCTGTCATGCCCTTGTAACGCGATGCAAGCGGTTTCTTCGGACCATGGCTGCTCTCCGCTTGCTCGGGGGCTTCTGTCAGGAAATCTCCGGTCACGTGATTGTAGATTTCCGCTTTCTTGTCCTCCTCATCTTGAGCGGCTTCACAAACTCGTCTATGTTCTTGCTCCTCCGCCTTTTAAATTACCCCATGGAAAGATTTTACAAAATTCTTTTTACATTGATTGATAACTATTCAAATGATACGCGGGGGATCCTATCGATTAGATTATTTATAAATTTTCATCGAAGGAATAATTTATTCATTAAAAATACCCCGGCTTCTTCTTCTTCTTCTTCTTCTTCTTCTTCTTCCTTTTTTTTATTTTGCGTTATTTTTCATCGAAGATTAATTAATTTCAACAAAAAATAGCGTATGACGATATTTATCATCTTCAAAGCTTCTCGATCAATATAATGCTCTTGAAATTTTATTTTCGTAACATTTTCTATTTCCGTAGAGTAAAATTATCAAAGTAAAACAATAAAAATTGTAATCCTATTTTGAGATAATCCGTTTTTTAAATATTTTTTTTATCGAAAGTTGAAAGTTGATCGTTAATTATAATACCAAAGCTCTGTTGAAACTCGCAGTGGCCTCGTTTAACCTTCGACGACATTCTCGTTCCAAGTTTTCCAGCTCGACTGCACGTTTGTCCCTCGAGACAACGGCTTCCTGGTACGCTTTCTCAGCATCCTCTCGTTCCTTTTCCGCAATTTCACGTTCCTTCTTTTGCTTTTCGAACCACCAACGCATTTCTTCTTTTTTCATTCGATCCTGTTCTCGAAAGTTGTAATCCTCGCCTTCAAATCTTAGCATGAAAAATAAAGATATTTTTTACAATGAAATAATCTTGAAAATTATTCGATTATATCGATAATGATTACATAAAAAAAATGAAAAAAAAAAAGAAACATTTAATAAGATAAATACATTCTTAGAAGAAATATGAATGATCATTAACGCGAGTCTTACGTGATTTATTACAGAAAGCTCATAATTTTTCATTTTCAATCTCATAAAATTCTATCTTAGTAATGCGGACATAAACAGGAATCATTTAGTCGTTATTAAAGTCATATCTTTTGTGTTTAGATAGATGTTGAGTGTTCTTTGAACGTACATAAGTCATTAAAGAAAGTTGTAAGATTAAAAGTTGTTAAAATTGTTAATTTTTCTTATTACATTACGTTTCATATATTTGACAGTAAAATATATTTAATTTCATTTTCAAAACATAAAGAGAATACATAAAATATATATATAAAATTTTATTACAATTTATTTGAGCTTTTTATAAATGATAAAAACATTAAAGATATTTATTTTATTGAATTATATTTTATAATAATACTTTGTCAAATACCTTTGTGCTGAGGCTAGTCCTAAACGTGGATCATCATCACCAACTCTGCAAGGTAATGACGTCTTCAAAGAATCCGGATCGTAAAGATCATAATCACGACGATCTTCACGTCTTTGATGCAGTCTACGAAACGCTTGAATTTCTTCATTTATACGTCGTCTTTCCTAAAAACAAAAACAACAAAAAAAGAAAAAGAAAAGAAACAATAAATAAAGGTAAATCTAAGAAAATTATTCCTTGTAAACCTTTCCAATACTTTTATAATCGATATATCAATATATTTTCTTTTATTTTTAACACAATTTTTAACCTTGTAAGAAGAGTCGTTACTATTTTTATAAAAAAATCAATTTTTATCGGATATACGCTATTTGTTTTCCAAAAATAAAATCAATCCACGTGTTACACTTTGTACTTTTCAACCACACACACACACACACACATGAGTGTTTAAATGTTAAATTAAATTTTAAGAAAGAAAAAATAATATTGAAACTTCGATAAATTTCAATGTAGAAGTCAAAACTTTTGTGCTTGAGTTAAAAAATTAATCAAAAAAATTTGAGTAAGTTGATTGAGGGGGAGTTTAAAGAAAAACTTGGAAAGTTTAGCATAAAGAACACGTTAGACCAATACGTTAGATGTTTAAATGAGGTCAACCTCTTACCTCTGCCTGTTCCTTTTCCAATTGCAAAGCGATTTTACTGCTGCGAACAAGACTCTCGTCCAGTTGGCATTCCTTCGCACGTTCTTCCTCGCGTTGCTGTCTCTTTTCTTCCACTTGACGATCTAAGAAATTCTTGTCGATCTTTCATTTTCCGAGAAGAATAACAACAAACAAATATTCACATTACATTTATTATATATATATATATATATGTATATATACACAGGGTGTCCCAGTTTTAATTCACACAAATTTCATTATCATTAATTAAAACAAAAAGTATAGAAACATATACGAACTTTGAAATGTTTTATTTTAAAAGGTTATAATAAATGATTGTTTTCTAGTTCGTTTTATTTAATAAAATATTTGAATAATTGGAAATTCATTTGAAATAACTGGAACACCCTATACGTTGTATTACGAAAGTCTCTTTGAGTAATACAGATGTGTATCGTAAAAAGTTAAATTATTAAACTCGTGTCAATTAACTCACTCCGATCTTTCTGAAACGAGGGTTAAAGATTCGCAATTTCCTATCTTCTTCTATTTGTCGTCTTCTTTCGATACTAGCTGCAACTTTTCGATCCTCCAAGGTTGAACGTGGAAATAATAACATCTTTTTTTCTTGTTCTTTTTATCAAAGTCTCGTGAAAATGTCAATTTTTTTTTTTTTACAGATATGTACAGGTTATAAAATAAAATATCGAATGATCGTTGAAACGTGAATGCGTTCAGAAACCCTAGGAAAAAGCGTACGAACAATAGGGGTGAGAAAGAATAAAAAAGGGTGTATTTCGTTACCATGGCGAGTTTGATCACGATACGCGATACCAAATCGTATTCGTATCGTTTAATAATTGTTTTTTTTTTTTTTTTTTTTTTTGAGAAAGAGGAAAAGTGATGTTTTATTTTATTTTCCATTGGTCGAATTTCATTTCGGATTTAAAACGGGGATAACAGGAATGCAAGAGCAACGTGAAATATTCTGTAAATATACATATTTAATGCATATTCAGGATAGAATCAACTTTTTGATCGGTAAATGTTTAAATTAAAACACACGCACCCTCTTATATCTCTTGAATTTATTCAATTTCAATTTATGCTTTGTTACATGCCAAACAAACAAATTTACACACACGCGACTTATAATTTATTTTATGAAAAAAAAATAAAAAATAAACAAGATTCTCATCGTTTAAACAAGGAATATAATTTATTTTGAATGCAATGATTATTTTGAACAATTTTTTTTAACAATAGGTATACGTTTTATTTTGAAAAGAGAGAGAGAGAGAGAGAGAGAGAGGGTTTGTTCGCATTTGAAAACTGTGTGAAAGGCATCAACGAGAACAAAGCTAGTCTCCGTACTCTTTTCTAACTTATATACTCTAACTTATTTACAACACGAGCATTGCACGCGTTCGAAGCGTGTGCGTTTTGCTTCGTTATCGTGTCGGTGCATCAAAGTATAAAGCGAAGATCGTAAACGATCACGAATACTCAATGTGTGATGCATAAATGAATGCAAGTAGAGAGAAAAGACAAAGCAACGAATGCCAGTCACGATCCTTACCGTTTTGTACTTCATATACGACAAATTATTATCCTTTTACTATTAGAAGTTTTCTATTTTTGTTTTTGTCTTTTTTTTTGTTTTTGTTTTAACTAGAACAATTTGCTTCTTTGTTTTATTTTTTATTTCATTACGTTTATTCGATATTTTGGATACTACTCTATGTTTGCCCATTTTATTTTGTTATAATTATATTATAAAAAAATGTAAATTTTTTTTTATTCAAATCAATCATGTTTCGTTCCTTTTTCTTTTGTTATTTATTTTAATTAAATTTTGTTCTTATTTTTGATTGATAAAATAATTGCCGCATTCCCGAGTATAAATAATTCTTATGATACTTTAAGCTGTACGATCTATAATTTCTATCTAGGTTCTTAACAGTTGATATTTACAGAAATCAAATTTTACAACTTCCAAGATCTATTTTAATTTTAATGTTGCACGCTTTCGCGTTTAGTTATATAAGAAGCTTATAAATCTTCTTCCGGATACGCGCAAATGAGAGAAGCTTGCCGACCGAATTGTACATTGCAAAGATAAACAACAGCAGCCATATTTAAAACGTCTTTACCGATAACACAATCAACATACTCTCTCCTTCTTTCTCTTGTTCTTTTTCTTTTTTATTTCACGCATTTTACTCTTTTATTACTCATCATTGTCATTATTAAATTGCAACTTTGATCGGAAGATCTTTGTGTGGTAAAACATATACACGTAATCTTTCGAAATTATACGTAATAAAAAAGAAAAAGTCATTTTTCTACGAAAATAAGGATAATTGAGTAAATCATACGATTAAGTAAAATTATAATTGTGTTTAAAGGAAAATATAATAACGTTGAACCCTTACTTTTTCTTTTTTGACTAAATCAATTGTTAATCAAAATCATTCAACGGATGACTAATGAATTATTAAATATATATTTTTGTTTCTATATTATAAAAATTACAAAGAAAGGTTCTTATTAGTAATTATTAATGTATATAATTATTTATTATATAATTTTTATAATATATAATTTTATATATATATATATATATTTCTTTGAGTAATACAGTAGTATTACTTTGAGTAATAATTTAATATGTAATTTTATAACATATATATATATATATATAAATTAATATAGAATAATATATAATAATAATTTAATAATAATTATTAATAATTATAAATAATTATATAAATATAATTATTAATAAGAAAGATTATATCTATATTATATCTTATTTAATAAAATTAAATCTATATTATATCTTATTAATAAAATTAAGAAAGGTTTCCATAATGACAACGATTTCTCTTGTCTATCCTTTAACGAAAAAAAAAAAAAGAAATTTGAAGAAGATATATATATATATATAACAGCATTAATAATAAATAATAGTTCGTTCTTTATCTTTATTAAAATAATTCGAAATCGTATACGTCGAAGTGAATAAATCCCAACATGTGATGATTGTCGGACATAATACATGTCACTTTCTCTCTACGGCTTTCCTTCTTCAACGATGTACAATATCTTACAATCATACATACATACACACGTATGATCCATTATTCTTCTACAAATAAATTCGTCTTGCTTTCGCTCGTCTTACAATTTACAATAAGCTACGAAATAAAATCATCAAAGTAATCACACCATAAAGTTCGTACCGATTTATTCATACGATGAATTTGGTGTGTCAAGTTGATGAATAATGATCGATCATTTTCACAATTACAATTAGAAATTAATAAAAATAATAAATTATACAATATATTATAATTAAGAAATATTCTTAAAAGATACGAAACACTTATTGTTGAATTGTAGAAAATAATTTATTTGTAAGTAGTTTATGGTTGTCTCTATATAAAGATACAGATGAAATATTACAAAGAAAATAAACGACATTTTGTGTATCTCGTATTAGTAGTCGCGAGTATGATAGGAAAGTAAAAAGACCTCTTCGATCACGCGTGAATATCTTATTCGTGAGAGAAATTGGCACGCATATACGATAAACGCTATCGTAATGTCGAGTACGATGTCCATTATAAAAAGTATGTATATATGTGTATGTATAATACGTACACCGTATGTGTTTGTTTACGTACGTTTAGCATGTTCCTCTTAATATCGTCATACGTATAAATAAATAAACCGAGCTCTTGTACAGACATTATTTTTGATAGTTGTCTTTCTCTTCACTTAACCCTGTTCACTTCCCTCACGTCTCCTATACACCCACACCACACTTTTTTTGCATAAGAAATAATCAACTTTTCGATTATTCAGGACGTAAATTAATTAGTCCGATGGGGTAATGAGAAAACCGTAATAATAATGATAATATAAGAAAAAGTGTATGAAGATAATAATACTCAATGTAAAAATGAGATATTGTAAATTAAAACGTAATTATAAATCATTCGTTTTAATGTGTAAATGTGATTTGATTAATGAGAGTTACATTTTATCACTTGTGTGAATTTCTTTTTAAATCGATAAATAAGATCATCATTCTTAAAGATTATAATAGTATGTAAGAAAATGATATTATACAAATGTTATTCCGTATAATACATGAGTTTTAGAATTACTTTAGTCGAATAATTTCGTAAGAAGAAACATTTTTGGCAGGTGTCCAATAAATGAATAGGCCGGGCATCATTTTCGATCGGAATTTCTATAAAGAATAAATTCGCTTTTAGGTAATTTCGTTTCTTTTTAGTTGAGATCAGATCTGATCGATTGGATGAAGTTCATGAAAATAGGGGTGAAAAAAGGAAGGAAGGAAGGAAGGAAAGGTACAGAAAAATAAGATTATAATCAAACTTTAATGCATTCAACTTATACAACGTGTAATAATATTTTCCATTAAATAATAAACCAATATTAGAGTTTAATATTAATAAATAAATCAAATTATGGATAACAACATTTAACGAATAATATTTATTGTATTAAAATTCGACCACAATGTTGTATGAAATAATATTACAAGTGTTATCAATATAAACAAAAGTGAAATGAAATTTTCTAATGATCAAATAAAATATATAAAAATAAAATAAAATATATAAAAATATATTTGATTTGATCGGTCCCTGGTCTACATACACACACACACACACACACATACATTTATATATATATATATATAGGTTTAGTATTAATTTGCACTCGCAAGTTTCCACGGCAACACGTATTACCGAGCCCTAGAGCGTAAGATACGCCCGTGGCGAAGCGAGGAGACTCTCGGGCGCCTGCGTATTGGAGTGACGTCATTGGCGAACCGGGCAGCCCATCGCCCGCCAGACATTCAGTCTCGTCTTAGCACTTCGAGAGGTCACAACTCACATATATCGCGCGGTTGCATTTCTCTTGATTTCATTTTTTCCGCCACCCACCCCTCGCACATACATTTTAAACGGTGTCAAATCGTAAAACTACTTTGATCGTTGAACGAGCTATTTTTTCTTCTCTATCGTCTTTTTAATCGTGATATTAATTCAAAATAACGACGATAATAAAAACAATAACAAAATACGAATCGATTATTCTAATCGATCGTGAAAAAGATAGAAAAAAATAATAATTCAGTCGTCAAAAGTGGTTTGAAAAAAAAAAAAGGAACAATATTTGAGAGGTGGTTTTTTTCTTTTGTGTTTCGCGTCGAATTTTGTTGTATAAAAAATAATCGAACGCGGATCGCGGTGAGATTGATCGAGAGAATAAGAAGAATAAGAAGAATTCTAAGTGAGGAAGAGAAGAAGAGAAGAGGAGTTTGGAGAGGAAAATTGGAGGGGAGGAAGATCCTGCGTGTTAACTTTTATCTCCTAACTCGAAAAGATCGATTTATATAACACTACTGGTGGTGTCACGTAAAGGTCTGTCATACACATCATATACACACACACACACATATACACATACACATACATAGAGAACACACGAATCAACATATATGCGTTGGGTTTTCGTCAGATTGATAAAAAAAAGTGTCGTGCAAGTTAGTTCGATATTTTCGTTAATAATTGTGTGAAATATTAATAAAGAAAGCGCTTATTACTATGCGCCCAGATAGCACGTTTATTATTATTATGAGATAATGAGCTGCTCGGTAAAGATATCGTCCGGGAAGAGTTGGAGCGGATCTCAAAGGAGGATCAGCTCGTTGGCGGAGGAGAATACCTGTCCTTCTCCGAACAACGGCGCTGTTCCAAGTTGCGCCCTCTCACAGACCATTCAAACGACCAACAACGTATTGGTCGTATCCTCGCAAACAACTAACTATAATAATAATACTAACGTAATTAATACATCGAATACCAATCATTTGGAAAATATTACAAATATCGGTAACAATCCAAATATCGTAACATCATCGTCGTCGTCGTCGTCAACAACGAGTGGAATTTGTGGAGGTGGTGGTCCTCCCGTTGTTTATAATTCTACGGTGGCTTCATCTAACGTAGCTGGTGTTTTTGGTGCCGGTGGGTGCACCTCTGCAGCAGGCGGCATTCCTCAAAGGATCCCCACGCCACGCCCCGTAAAGTCGATTGCTTCGAAGAAAGGGGAAGACACGAGCAAGCTGCTCAAGTACATCGACGATAACGTCATCGGCAAGAACGGCACCTTCTTCGGACCGTTCGGCCGCAGGAAAGGTCAGTTATTATTCAATATTTTTATTTACAGCTTTGACAATTGTATTTACAAATGTTTTTACGAATGATTATCATACTCTAATAGACGTGTTAAACTTTTATTAACCATAGGATATCAAATTTATTTGAGAAAAACTGTCTGTTCAAACCGCAGACACCAACCTCAAATGTAAAGGGTTGTTTTTTTTTGTTTTTTTTTTTTAGGTCTTGGTCGAACGCGGTTTCAAATTTCGTAACTCCCATAATTCGCGATTCGGTTTTTGTGGTATCACGTTGTCCGCGAATTTACAAGCTCTCGTGTAACCGCCATTTTCAATACCTTATTTGTCGAGTCATTTTTCAATCAGGTTATTAAACAAATGTGCAACTTTGATCGTACGAAAGTCCTTTCAATATTTTTCTTTCTTTCTTTCTTTTTTCGGAATAAATGTTCGTCGAATGAGTAATCATTTGATTTCTTTTCTTTGTATATTCTTATTCTTCAGAATTGTGTTTTCATATATGTTTGTTGAACTGTTCATTGAAAAACTAAGCAGATTTTGATTGAACCAAGGCATTTGATATACTTCATCGAATTTCACAAGGCCATTTTATTCGAATAGAATTTAAAACGCGCGTGCTCTGCTATCGACCATGCAGAATTTTATTTCCATTTTATCAAAGAGTTGAATCAAGATCATATGAATCACTTTCGTTTATTCGACCTGCCACGTGATCATATTTTGTCTTCCTTTCGAGTAAAATTCATTGGAGTAATCTTTTTCATATTATTTCTAATAAATAACTTAATAAAAAAAAAAAAAAAAGATAAAACAAAACACAACAACGTTTTTCTGAGTTTATTGCTTTGTATTCTTAAAAGAAAAAAACATTGACCACGTGTGTTTAGATTAGACAAGGAAAACCATTTGGTTTAATCAAATAAGTTAATTGGCCAGACCGATAAAATAATCAAATCAACTGTACTCTAAATACGTAGATTTGTATTTTTGCTTAAAAAAACAAACACGCACACACACACACATTCATCTTTATACCCAAATACGAAATTCATCCGATCAAAACAAAATGGTTAAAATATTCGTTCATTATATTCTTTGATACCAGCAGATCCAAATTCATTTCACATTATAAATACAAAAGCATATGCATATATGCAACACTTATATACAACTGTGTAAATATATTTTTTTTCTATACATATTCACATAGATACATATATAAATATACAAATATATATATATACTACTTATGTATAGTTATGATGTGTATATATAAGACGGGATTTCCGTTCAAGTGAAACCCACGTGCTCGTCGCAAAGTGAATTGCTAAAAGTGCTACCTACTCACGCATAACTATTAAACGACCGCGAAACGTACTCACGCGTACAAATTCCTTCCATTAAATCCTCTTAACTAGATTTTACTCTCACGAAGATCGACGACGTTATTTTGTTCTTATTAGCTATGCTTAGAACGACTTACTTACACCTAACACAATTCTAATTTATATTTTGAATTAAAAACTTACTTACTATACCATCATACGCCCACATATATAAGGTGACTCACTTATCTTTCTTTCACATCTCTCTAACAACTTTGAAATTAAACATGTCAAATGAAATATTAGGTATCTAAAGAGAAAACTTGTACGATTTTTTGCAGTACGAAATTGGGGACAAATTTTGTTACATTTTTATTTTTTTAAATGTATGAAATAGGATGTTGAATATTGGACAATTATTAAATATATTTCTTTTTATCAAAAAGTCTATAATCTTTTTTTATTAAACAATTTTATTATAGGTTTAATATCAAAGTTATTGGAGACATCAAAACATGGATATGAATCATCCTGTACTCGTGCATATCATTTAACTGTAAATTGTTATCTATAACGAAAAATAGTTTTTTTTTTTTTTTTATTATAGATAGGAATAAAAAAAAAAAGAACAAAAAGAATATTATACAAAAGAGACAGGAAGTATCGTTTTATTGTATATATTATTATTAATGTTCATGCGCGAGTATAGTCGTTGAATAAACTGGAACACCGAACGGAAAAGACACAACGCACAAGAGTAAAAGTTTTTATTTCAACAGGAAGTTCGATCGTTGCGCTTTCGAACGGTAGGAAATAATATCAGTGGTGCCATTATTTCAAAAGTCACTTTTCGTGCTAAAGATAAAGAAACTTGGCAAGTGGTAGCTCACTGACACGAAACAATACTAATTTGGTCTGACCATGCCAACGATGAGTCGACAAGTGGAAATCTCCAAATTATTCTTACCAAGCATAATATTTCATTTTTGTTCTTTCTTATTATTTTCATTTTCAAAACTCACGTGATTTTATTATTAATTTTTGTGAAAATATACTTTTTTCTTTTTAATAATCTTTTGTCGCGATTGCAAAAAAAAAAGAAAAGTTTACGACGAATATAATTATGCTAATAACACCATGATAGACATTTGTTGACTCATTCCCAGGAATCATTACATTTTATTTTTCAAATGACCATCCTTTTACATCAAACACTTGTAATTTTCATTATGTTATGAATTTCAAATAGTTGATTCGATGCTAAGTAGACAATTATTCGAGTTATATTTTGTTAGATTCAAATTTAACCACGGTTATATATATATATATATATATTTTTTTTTTATTATTTTAAATTACGTAAAAAGAAAAAAAGGAAAGCCAAAAAAGAGAAAATATCAAACAAATCATTCGTAATATTATCAGTTACGATTTTTATCGTGAACGATTTAAAAAAAATAAAAAAAAAAATAAAAAATAAACACCCACACAAACTCGAACAATATTTTATTTGCCATAAAAGAAAGGTAAAAAAAAAAAAAGAAAAAATGGAAGACATCTTTAGGAATGAAATAAAATAATGAAACATACTTTACTTGAGTTTAATCAGAAGATGTTACAAAAAATACAAAATAAACTGGGATGATCATTCGATCAATCGATCGATTGAATAGAAAGAAAAAATTTGGTATTTAACCTCGTGGGTAACTCTCTCATGTTGGACGAAAAAGAGTTGAACAAAAATATTGTCGAACGAGTATGGCAGCTGTCCATAATGACTCATCGTCGTAAAATAGTGAAAGAAAGAAAGAGAGAGAGAGAGATAGAAAAATACGCACACCTATAAAAACATACTACAGTAAATAATCGTCAAAGCATATGCATAAAACACACGGATACTTAGAATAATAACGATGAAACACATACATACATTAAAACCATATATGTTTATAATAAACGACACTAATATATATATATATATATATATATATATATATATATATACACATATGCATAAAACATGAACGTTCATATACATACATACATACATTTATCTATGATAAGAAATATATGCGCATTGATTCGTCAGAATTTTTATCAATGATAAGAAATAACTTAAGGATCAATTCCTCGCATACTCGTAGGATACTATTACACTTGGTTATTTTTTTGTATACTTGTTTCATTTGATCCCCTTAAGACGTCATTGTGATTTCATTTTAAAAAACGATGAGTGGGGAAAGTGAAAGAAAGAGAAGTAGCAAGGGCAAGGTCGAATAAAACATTATTAAATTTCTGTGGTCTTGATTAGAGATGCGTGGTTGGTTGTATAGAGTTTGTGGTATATTTATATATATATATACACACACATTATATACATATAGAAATATAATTAGTCACATGATCGTCATGCAACTGACGCATCCAGCTTCGAGAGATATAGTAATCTATAAAGTGATACGCTTATGGATACTTTATTCGCGTTTCTTGACAATATTTTTGAAATGAAAAAAACTTCTTTAGAATTAGGGTGATTTGAAAATCGTGAAACGGAAGAACGTGAAACCGATGAAACAAAAATAATTAATTAATTAATAAAATTCAATATATAATTTAATTCTATATATTAATTAATTAATTAATTAAATTCTATATATAAAAATTCAGTGTAACAATATGTTTGTCCACTAATAATTCCGAAACTATTCAACTTATCTTAATGAAATTGATTTGATTTCACGTGATTTTTTCCAACTTAGCACATAGCACAATTTTTATCGCGATTTTTTTTTGTTTTATTATTTTTTATTATTAATTTAAAGATTTTTATTTAGAAGTTACTTAGGTTCTGTAAGGTTCTTTCAATAGATGGCACTGTATTACAATTCAATTATTTCGATATATTTACGTCTGGAAGCTTGGTTTTCTTTGAAGGTTTCACTTCTACCTTGTGTGATCTGCACACATCTGTTTTTTTTTGTCTTTTTTTTTTACGTGATGACGAAAAAATATTCTTTCCTTCTTTTTTTTTTGTCAATAATTTTTATCCTTTTTTTTGTTTTTAATTGAACAACATATTTTGCGATAGGAATCACTTTTGTTTGTTCGCACTTCGATGAAAGAAATAAATCTTTAATTAATTATATTATTTTTGAGATAGCATTTTTTACGAGATGCATCATTAAATGTTTCTACATCTTTTTCTACCTCTATTTTTTTTTATTTTTTTATTTTTTTTTATTTGTTGTTGATCGAGAATAAAGGATACACTCGTGAAATACCAACGTAATAGTAATATTCTTATGTAATCGTAGCATTAAACGTACCACACGACCGGTTTTTAAATATCTAATTTAAAATTCGGAATATCAATTTTATTACTTTTCCTTATTGAAATTTTTATTTGCTATTATTTCACAGACTATTTTAACTATCAATATTACATTATTAAACATTTATTATTTAATACAAAATATTTTGTTAAATGCAATTCAGAACAAAAAATATTCAAAGTTATTCTAATATTAAAACAAAATAAATCAAATGGCAAGAAATGTAACATAGCGTGATTAACTTTGAATTATTTAAATATTAAATTGATTAAATATATTTTTTTATTTTTTATAGAACAATTAATAAAAAAAAAATAATGCAAATTATTATTTAATCTAAA